GTCCATTTTGACCACTAATGGTATTAAATGTGATGTGAAAGGAGCATTTCGCCCCTGGTATTGTATTTTCTAATTTTTGCTTTTTGCTAATGAAAGTAATACTCTATAAATGTAATCTATAACTAGTAAGTTAGACATGCCTTGCACGTGAGAGTAAGTGGGACCGAATATCGATTTACCACATCATAATAGGCAAACGTATAAATTTGGAGTTACGTATGATGAAGTACATGATATAGCCATATAGGTTTAAGTCTGAACGCTCATTCCATTAAAAATCAAATTATGACTATATAATATTCGATGATTGTGTGGTATATACTACACAAAAAAATGTTAAATATATAAATAGTTAAATACTCAATCTGTGAAGACAAAGTGAACTTCAGGGAGATGTTACCGCAGATTTGAAACAAAACAAACAAAAATCATACAGTAGAAACATATTTCAAATATTTTGTAAGAAAAAAACTTGGGAGAAGAGTCTAGAATAAATGAGAAGTGGTTGCATTTTGTGCATATTGTGCAATGTACTCTCTCCGTCCCATAATGTAAGACGTTTTCTGACACTAGTGTAGTGTCAAAAAGCGTCTTACATTAAGTGACGGAGGGAGTAAATGATAGAAAAAATGAACGACAATTATCTTAATAGAAAAAAGTTAGAGAATCGAAGTATGGAAGAATCTAGAACAAAGAAGTTTCTTTGTTTTGAGATTGCATATTATGATTGTGTCTAAGTTCAAGTAGAATCTTCTAGATATTACATGTGGCAAAATCTAATGTAGTGAAGAGAATATCTAACGGCCAATACTACTCGGATTTGCCACCTGTCAGGCGTTATATGGGTTTCATCCAACGGTCAATAGTCAAAGTTATTCACACACTATATAGTGGTATAGATTAGTGTATGTAACATAACAGTTGAACTTTACGTCCTGTGTACGGCATAAAAAAACTGTGCGCCTTGTACGCACCACTAATGGTGTACTAATGCTGTCAGAAAAAAATGATGTGCTAATGTACACTGCTAACTATTCGATTAGAATTAGTTGTAGAAACTTGCACCAGCATCCGAGTACCATACTTTCGATTTCATCAGTCCAGCGAACGCACGACGTGACTTGCATAACAAACCAATCAAAGATGGCATCGCTTTTTTGTTTACAGCAGGCGAAATAGAGCGGGCAAACAAATGAGTTGGTATTTGTTGATTCTCCATATCAAAGTGGAACTAGTCTACTTTTGAAGTAGCAGCTGTTGGTTTTTGAAACATAATAAAGATCATCGTTTCTCACGGTTAAGATTTACATGTGTATGCCAGTTGGGACGCACATCACTTCATGCCAATATTATATCGACCTAGTTGTTATTACATTTCTGAGCCACGCAATGTGCGCCTTTTCTGGCATGAAGCAAGCATGCTCACGAGAGCAATTCTGGCATGAAGCAAGCATGCTCACGAGAGCAACTCGACTTCATGTTGTTCTTCTTCTGGCTGGCGTCTCCTTGCTTTGGGCCAAAAATCACCTAGCTTGCTACAATTAAATCACCTAAATACAATATCAGGGGCAAAAAGTCTTTTCATGTCACATTTAACACCGTTAGTGCCAAAAACGGACGGGAGTGTCAAATAGGGAATAAATTTTACATCTAGCGCAAATAAGGAAGAAAATATTTTTTGGGGGCCAAATAAGGAAGCGGATTTTAAGAAAGGGCCAAATAAGGAATTCTCTCTTTTTCTGTGGACTTGGTAGAGAAGTGTGACTAAGGACAAAACTAGGTTTTCATTAATTTGGAGAGCAGGGAGTACAAGATAAGTCAGAGAGACTGTTTTTAGGTTAATACTTGGAAAACTATACTGTAAGGAGCAACATTATGTTGCTAGAGTATCTCTTTAATTGATTTATAAGCTTACTATAAACTTGCCTAGCTAAACTCTTGCTCATTGCCGACACGGCTATCTCTTTAGGATCACTCTGGAACATAATTATCATATTGTCTGGAACCTGTTGGACTGCGGACAGGCTTGCTCGCCGAGGACTGCAGCACCACCCCCGCTGCCTCCTTTGTGACCAGGCACCCGAGACGATCCGGCATCTACTGCTCGTGTGCCCCTTTGCCCGTCAAACCTGGCACTCGACCTTCGCATGGCTGTGCATCCCGGCCCCTGTTCCAGGACACGAGGCCAATCTTATGGACTGGTGGCTGCGCGCGAAGGATGCCACGCCACTGGCGCTGTGCAAGGCCCTGCAATCTGTCACGCTCCTCATGCCCTGGATGCTATGAAAGCACAGAAACGATTGTGTCTTTGAACACACGAGACCATCGTTTGACCAGCTACAGACAAGATCAAGGATGAGATCCGCTGCTGGGCAACGGCCGGGGCTCAAGGGCTTAGGGTCGTTTTGCCACAATCATGGGATGTCCACTGATCATAGTGTTAGCCATGTAATTCTTACCTCCTAGGAGGATTGTACCTGTACTCCCTATTTTTGCAATGCAATGTCTTTGCGTTTTCTCGAAAAATATTGTCTGGAACAGAAATACATTTGTACTTCAGCTATGTGCCAGACTGCCATATTGAGGCACGATACATACCATGACATGATACCTGTATCACCTGTGCGAAGTGCCGTGCTTCCTAAATCCTAGGTGTTGGTTAATATCAGGGATGTTTCTACATGCCTGACTCATCTAAATACTGCATTGTAGCTGTGAAAGTGCTCGCGTTATTGTTACTTGTTCTTTGAGTTTTCTTGCTTATGGTGACTCATTTTGTTGATAAAACTATTTTCTTTCTCTTCCAGGTTGTTTCTAGCTAAATCCAAGGAATTGGTGCAATATCAGGTCATGGAGGGGAGTAAGAACATGCAAGAGTCAGACACTGCATCTGTTGTCATAGTACCCAGGGAGCCTGCTGTCATTATCAATGGTGTCCCAGACTTGCCTCCTGATTTCGCATCTGGTTCACAACCTGCAGTAAGAGATGCTCCAGGATCTCGAGTTGATCATCGCTTTGGTGAATGGCTAGAAGGGCGGAAAGTGAGAAAGCAGTTTGGAGACAAGTATTTTGCAGGGAAAGTTGTCAAGTATGACAGTGAAAGCAATTGGTACAGTGTTGTCTATGATGATGGAGACCAGGAAGATCTTGAATGGCTTGAACTGGAGGAGATCCTGCTACCATTGGACATAACCATTCCACTCAGAAAACTTGTTATGGACAAATTCAAACATCAGAATGCTGTTCCTGACTACAGACTTAAGGGGGCTAGATCATCGCAAGGAACTAATGGTACTAGCAACCAGATGGTGGTTAGAGCAGTAAATGGCCAACAGTCAAACAACCTACCACTACCAGGGTTGCTTCAGGCGTCCCCGTCAAATGCAGAGACTGTCAGGGCAGAAAGACTGAAGATGCAGACCTCCAAAAGAAAAACTGAAGAGGTATATCAGCCTAAAAAAAGGGGCAGGCCTCGAAAGGATAGAACTATATCAGTATCAGGTGACATTGAACCTAAAAAAAGAGGCAGACCTCCAAAAGAAAAGAACATATCTGGGGAGAGTAGTGTTCATAAGCGCAATGCAGAGACTGTCAGGGCAGAAAAACTGAAGAGAGAAAGCTTGCGTGTTCGAGGGGCATAACCTAACAATCAATCTCACTGTTACAATACAGATATTTCTAAATATTCCAGTCTATGTATGCTGGTGACACTAGCTTTCAATGTACTTTGTACAACCCAGCGCACAACAAAACTTGTAAAGCTATATTTACTATTCGAGCGCTACCATATTTCTTTTCCTATACAAGTATATCTGCAAACTGTTTGAAATTCTTCGGGTATGGCATTAGAAGTTTTCCTTGTGGAAATGGAACCTAGTTGTGGTTGTCTGGCTGAATTCTTTTGAAAGATCCTTGAGTTGTTTCGTGAGTGTTGGAGATCCACAATAGAAAACACCTGTAGATTTATGTACATGTTAAATATTGCACTGTCTAGTATAAATCTGCCATGACAAGGTCTTTAGCGAATTTAGCTCACCTATACGAGAGTTCTTGTGGGCATTGGCCAAATCGGAGAACACTTTTCTCCAGTTAGGTCTTGCAAAATGTGTCCGAATCTACAAGAGGCGTGTCAGAAAAGGAAGCAAAGATATATGGGATCAGATGAGAATGCAGAGCTGGGCAAATACCTTGCTTCCGGAGACAATGTCAACACCATTTTTGGCATGCTGGAGTGACTGAACCATGGCAATCAGCGCTGACCTTGCGTCGCCTTCTTCATACACGCTGGTGAGGTAATTGTGCATCTCGATGACATTCTGCATATTACTTTAGCTCAGTTCTATAGATGCGACTAGACAAAGATGAAATTGATAATGTCAGAGTGAGATAAGTACGCTGTGATCGTTGTCAGCAACTTCATTCATGACTCCTTTGAACCAGTCGAAGGATCCTTGCTCTCTGGTAACCCAGTAGAAGTAAGCTCTTCCTGGCCCACTGTTCTTGAAGCTGCCTATCTCAGAACCGTGTATGCTTTCCACCTCCTGTTCCATCAACTCATTTTCTCAGTTATGTTACCTCCATTAGCTGTATTATGTATATAATGTTGAGAATACTTTTCTGCAAAAGAAATTTACATCATTGGACTTTATGTTGTTCAAGAGATCTTTCAATATGCTGATGAAAGGAGTGGCGCCAATCCCAAGACCGATAAGCAAAAGAATGTCGTATTTCTTGTAATTTTGCGCCGGTGCACCATAAGGGCCATCGATAAAGACCTTAGGAAACCTAAAGGAGACACAGCAATGATGATATTAAAAGTCTGTACTCAAAACTAACTGAATTTTGCGTCGCCAAATAGTTAAATGAGCTCACCTGGTGTCTTCTGTCGCAGAGTCTGCCACAACTGTAGTTTCAAGTCTCGAAAGGGTAGCCTTCTTGGAAGTAACTTGTGCCTCGCAACACTATGAATATGGATCTTTCTAATTATTCATTCTTGGGTAGTCCACATTTGTTCTACTCTCCTGTGTTTAATAGTGAAATAAACATTTGCAGTTTAGTTGCCTGAACTGACCTTCCCGAACAAGCTCCTGAGTTCAGATGTCCAGTCACCTAGCGTGCGGATATGCACGCTCAGGTAATCATCTCCAGGTGCAGAAGTGATGGAGAACGGATGCCTGCAAGACCACTATCAACTGTAAGCAAGAACCTCGGATGAACTGTATCTTGGTTCATATATGCAGCAAGGATGGAGTAATACCATTCGAAAGGCGAAACGTCAGGGCATTTCACAAACAGGTACATCCCACTCTTGTACTTGAAACCCGGTGGCTTCTTCATGTGAAGAGAGAGCACATTTCCTGGGTAAATCGCAGCCTGCATAGTATGTGGCAACATTGGTTAATAATAGCTAACAGCAGTCAGAAAGAAGTAATAAATCGTGCGAATTCTCAGTGGCCTGCCTTGAGAATGTTCACGTGGTAGTTGTTTTCGCGAACTTTTCTGATAATCCTCTCGCAGGCGTAGAAGAGGACAGGGACTATGAGGAACATCCATGTCTGAGCGAACAAATAAACGATCATCAACACTTGAATTTACATACAGGAAAGAAAAGCATTATATAGGTGGCTGATCATCATCAGTAAGGAGGGCAGATGATTAATTACCGTCTTCTTGTACCAGATTCTGGTGAGGAATATGAAGTAGGAATGCACCACGAGGAGGACATAGACGAGCAGCAGCAGGTGGTGCGCGTACCAGAAGGCGTTGAAGCCGGCCAGGTGGTGCAGCGGCGACGGCAGCTTGACGACGCTCCGCCTGAAGGTGTGCATGGCCAGCGTGAAGGAGAAGGTCATGATGATGATCATGAGGATGCCGGTGACCCCTGGGGCGCTGGCCAGCAGGTCCGGGTACGTCGGCTGCCTGAAGCCGAAGTTGGGGCCCAGCAGGGCCATGAACTTGTCGCTCGGGCAGGAGATGAGCCTGGGGAAGTCGCAGGTGACGTGGGCGAGCGTGTGCACCACGGTGCCGACGGCGATGGCGCCGGCGAGCACCTTGTGGAAGTTGATGTTGTCGTCGAAGGGGATGACGTGGCTGAGCGCGGTGGAGCGGAGGGTGGTGAGCGTGTTGCGGCAGACGGGCAGCAGGATGAGCGCCATGTTGAGCTTGAGCGTCTCGGCGGCGCCCTTGGCGACGCAGACGCAGTTTCCCATGACCTGGAAGGAGGACCGGTGCTTGTACTGCTCGAACTTGTAGACGAAGAGGGCGAGGTTGGCGGCCAGCCAGAGCGTCACCAGCCATATCCGCTTCCAGTTCTCGTGGATGAAGTCCATGGTCCTGGTGACGTGCCGCTTCAGCGGGCTCCGGTACCGCATCGGGATCATCGTCCTCGCCAGGCTCGACGTCGTCCGCTTCAGCTTCACCTCCGGCGCCTGCGCGCTCACCATCCCGCGGAGCAAAGTCTCCAGCTGCCAAATCTGCATTGGAGGTTTGGAGGTCAGCGACTCGCGCCCTCTGAAGTTACTTTCGACATGGCGACCACTACTAGTAGTCTATTATTACTGCCGTACCTCGATGTAGCCGCGGTCGTCGGGGTCGAGCTCCTCCATGATCAGCGACGAGTAGGTCGCGGCGTGGCTCTTGAGCTTGGCCAGCTTGTTCGCCGACGCGCTCAATATAATAACCTGTCAGCAGCGAATAAAAACAACAGGTTGATTGTTCATTTCTCATTGTTTCAGAATACAGTAGATCCCATCGAGCAAAAGAAAATCCCCACCTCCTTGACCTCATCTTCCGTGAGCATCCCATCGCCGTTCTTGTCGCACCTGTTCGTGCCAAATTTCATCCATCAGCAGGTTCGGTTAATGAGCTTCAACGTTGATGCTAAAATCAGACTGAACCTATAGCTTACATGTCGAAGAAAATGCGGAGCCGCGAGTCGAAGTTCTGGTCGGTCATCTCCGTCCAGAACTCCCTGAGCTGCTCCTTGGTGATGCCCTGCTCCGGCTCGATGCTCCTCCGCCTCGACAGCGTCACGAACAGCTCGCCGGCGAACTCCTTGGAGTCCCCCATGCCTTTGGATCAAGAAGCATTCCCCCATTAGTGATTAGTCCACCGACCATGTGAGCCCGTTTGGGGGATCCATGGACATATTACTTCTTTTGAGCGAACATTGTATCATGGGCATTATAATTGCTAAGATCCAAATTAGCAAGCTAGGAGTGGGGGTGCTGGCAGAAACTGTACTTAATTTTGTGTTCTGACCAGGCACTATTTGGGACAGCAAGCGCTGATTTGGGGAAATTCTTGTGGGCCAAATAATGGATCTCGGTTCGGTACGCCGACCCTGCCAACAAACTCTTTTTGGGCAAATAGGAACAGTTCGAGGTAACTTCAAACGACTGTGGCCAAGCATAAAAATGGTGGATACAGCAACAAGATGCCCCCAATAGAACTACATAAGATTCCCCATACTCGTGGCCACTTTGTCAGATTCAATCGTGCAGTTCTAATTAGAAATCAGCTACCATTCTTAATCACACGGCCATCGAACCAGATTAGTTGACAGTTTTGTTTGAAAGAAAGAGAAAGATTGGTAGCACGCAGTCGATGCATTGGGGGTGGTTTGGTTTGGGTGCTCACCGATGCACTTGCCGAAGCTCTCCTTGGGGAGGCGGCCGCTGGCCTTGCTCATCTCGTCGAAGCGGCGCTCGACGGCCTTCCAGCCCTCCTTGCTCCCGGAGGTCTTGTCGAGGAAGCGCAGCCCCTTGAGCCCCATCTGCGCGCTGGACTGCATCCGCGTCATCCGCCCGCCGCCCGGCCGGATGCCGGGCACCACCTCCGGCACCTTCATCGACACCCGCGACGCGAACTGCCGCACCCCGGACGCCAGCCGCGACGGCTGCTGCATCAGCCCCCGGAACCCCGGCGGCCTCGGCAGCCCCGCCGGCGGCGGCGTCCTGCCGCCGCCCCCGTCGACCGTGATCCCGTCCAGCGGCGGCGCTGCCCGGTCCGCGTACCCGCCGCCCGGCGACGCCATCCCTCACGCAATCCGTAAGAAACCGGCCCGGAGAGCGCAATGCCGCCCGCCGGCGGCTCGCCGGAAGCTGGCGGCGGGCCCCGCCTGCTGCGAGGTAGCTAGCTAGGGGAGGTGGGGTGGACGTGCTGGCCTGCTGGTGCCGCTGCCACGAACTCTTCGGGGGGAGGGGAGGAGACAGGATATGGCGGGTAACATGCGTGGATGTCCCAGTTATAGCCGTTGCGACGACGCCACGACGCCGTCCGTATACTGCCGTCGCCGCTGTCCACCGCGCGCGCGGGGATCGATGAAGCGTCGTGGATGAACGGCTAGCCGTCGGATGCGGGATCTGCGGCCCGCGCACCACCCTGGCGAGATTTTGGGTCGGGGAGGCGATATGTCGTGCCGTCGGTGTGCGTCGAGAGCTTATCGTGTCGTTCTTCCCGAACAGGCAAAGGCCCGCGGGAACCGTCGGATGGTGAACCGACGGTTGGTGATAGTGGACGTTAGGTGCGGCGACGTGGTGCCCCGCCGGAGGGAATGGCGCTCGGCTCGACGTGGACTGGCCCCGTGGGCCCGCCGGGAAGGTTGGTGCGCGTGTGGTGTCGTGGGGCGCGGTGGTCTTTG